GAATCATTGGTTAAGATTTATTTACAACAGAACAACACAACCCAGGTGTTCGAATTTGTACAACGCATCGACAGTTTTACAGTTTTTTGAACCTAGAAGAGTACAAGGCTGGCTGTGCACAAAGGCTATTTCTAAAAAAAAAAGGGTCAATTCCGACTTTGCTATGACAATCTGGCGCTTCTGAATCAGCGACTGTAAGTATGTTTTGTTACTAGTTTAAGTATTTGCTATTGACTGTTCAAATGCGGAGTTTTGCGCAGTGCAGAGTAACGCGTCGTGTGTGTGTGAGTGAGGGGAACAGGGTCGTCAGCTGTCTTAACCGCGGCTTGTGTACTGCATCATCACTGTGTCTGTCATGTGACTCTGTTGCCCTTTCGGGCTTGAACTGATGGTAAAACTAACTACATTATTAACTGTCTTGATATTTACTTTGAAAGCTTGAAGCTCACGATTATGTAATATCATTGATCACGATTATGGTAAGGGGCATTACATTTCCGACGCGTGCTTGTGGTGTTCGGCCAATCACAATGCACTGGGTCAGCTGGCCAATCAGAGCAGACTGTGCTTTTTCAAAGGAGGGGGCTTTGTTGAAAACGACGTGTTTGAGAGAGGCAGGGCATAGAGGACCTACAATAATGTACAGTATTTGAAAAATAATGTGTTTTTTTAACATTAAAGCATGTCAACATATTCTGTTACACCAAATACACAAAATAATGATCTTTAAAATAGCATCATATGACCCCTTTAAGTCTTTTAGATGCGTTATCATAAGCTTGCTCTGCTGTTAAAGGTTTTATTTATTTTCTCAGGGAACGTTGAAAAAGAAAACAGTGGAAAACCTGGAGAAGTATGTTGTGAAAGATGTAAGTTTGTCTTTTAATTTCTGATGTTACTGACTTGCCTTGTTGTGTTTGTGTTGTATTTCTGAGAATAACTGATTTTTCTTTTCTTTTTTTTAGGCCAAGTTGCCATTGCTGCTGAGCCGCATGAATGAAGTCGCTAAAGTTTTCTTAGCCACCAACAGTGACTACAAATACACAGATGTGAGTTTACTGATGCAAATACATACATGAGATTTGTTTCAGAACTAGCTGCATAATGAGAACATGCTAACATGAGAGATTTGGATCGCTTTACACTGGCCGATTTGTGTAAGTGAACAGTTCAGTACTCTAATAACATGCCACACACAAATGTTGGTTAAAATAATCAATTTTATTAGACCTTAATCAGGATAGACAGCATAGCTTTCAAAACACTTTTGGTCTACTGAAAGTTTTTTCGGAAAGATTTCATTAGCTGAATAATCAGTCTGTTGTTAAATAATCCATTAAAGGGTTAGTTCACCCAAAAATGAAAATTCTGTCATTAATTACTCACCCTCATGTCGTTCTAAATCCGTAAGACCTCCGTTCATCTCCGGAACACAAATTAAGATATTTTTGATGAATTCTGAGAGCTCTCTGACCCTCCCATAGACAGCAATGTAATTACCACAATCAAGGTCCAGAAACGTAGCAAGGAGATCGGTAAAATGAGCAATGTGACATCAGGGGTTCAACTGTAATTTTATGAAGCTATGAGAATACTTTTTGTACGCAAAGAAAACTCTGCGTCACCCTGGTGCCATTTTGGAGAAATGTCACCGTGTGACGCAGCTGACACAGAATAGCATACGCTGTTTATGTTCAGTGGATATTCTCCAAAATGGCACCAGGGTGACGCAGAGTTTTCTTTGCGTACAAAAAGTATTCTCATAGCTTCATAAAATTACAGTTGAACCCCTGATGTCACATTGCTCATTTTACCGATCTCCTTGCTACGTTTCTGGACCTTGATCGTGATAAGTACATTGCTGTCTATGGGAGGGTCAGAGAGCTCTCAGAATTCACCACAACATGAGGGTGAGAAATTAATGACAGAATTGTCATTTTTGGGTGAACTAATTCTATAAATGCATTGTACTTCTGTCCCTAAGCCTTGTTTTCATTTTTGTCAAATTTTAAATATGGTGCTACGCTCAACTACCTTTTTTATGAACATTTCTGGCTTTTTACGTACAAATAGCAATTTACTAGAAAATGTACTACCATATATATTTCATAAATAAAAATGACAGTTGTTAGTTGGGAACAAAATAAAATAAGAAATACAATGTCCGCTTGCATTACAATTTTGAGCTTTTAGCAGTTTGATAAACCTTTCTTTTTTTTTTTTTTTTACCCACAAATACCAATTTCTCAATTTCTACCCAATACATTTTTACAGCTTTTTTTTTTTTTTTTTTTTTTTTTTTAATTTCAGTTATATGTTCTTGTTAACAAAACACACTTTTAAAATTCCCTCATATTTCCAGTTTCCAAGACTTGAGAGCTAAAAAAATACAAATTGTTGAAAAAATAAGAGTTCTTTCTTGGATGCAGATTAAAATAAGAAAAACAGTGTGTGTGTAAACTTACACCTTAAATAAATCTAAATACGTTTGCTAAATAAATCTAAATCTTAATAGGCAGCATAGTTAAGCTATGATTTTCGAACAGCTTTGTGCCTTTAAAAATCTATTTGTATGCAGCTCACTAGGTTTTAAATCAGGGCAATAGACAACTGCACATGCAACTGGTTTGTTTAAAACTTGGACACATACAAACCATCATCTTTTTGTTTTGATTTGTTTTACAGAAAATTATGACGTACTTGTTTGACTTCCCCCATGGCCCAAAGGTATTAACATTGGTTTTTCAGCCTGTCATTAAACCTTTCAAAAGAGTTTCCTGTCATATATTGTTGCTCATAGTAATGTTTTATGTTATAGCATGGCACTTCACACCGTCCATGGCAATCATACTTCGACCTCATCCTAGTAGATGCTAGAAAGCCTTTATTTTTTGGAGAGGGAACTGTTCTAAGACAGGTGGATACGGTGAGTACATCAAACAAAACGCTCTACTATTACAAAAACAGAAGCAGACTCTCAAAGTCAGCAGGTGCAGTATTGCACGTTCTGGAACATTTTATCCTGCTGAACACGATCACACAGATGGTTAGTCAGCGCTGAGTATTGAGCGTTTATACTGAAGTCTGCTGAGCACAATAGAAAAAATCTCTTTCCTGTCATCCCTTTGCAGTGTAAAGCAGCTAAACAGTTCACTGAACTTCTAAGAAAGATATTTCAGTGCAAAAACCTGTCTGTAACCCCAACAAGATGCAAAACGAGCAGTGTAAAATGCAAAATTGCTCTGAGTTCTTGTTTTGTGGGTGTATTTGAACCATTCCCTGATTTGCATAGTTAATTTAGTGAGTCGGACAGGCACGATTTATTCTTTGTGAGTTGTTATTTATTTGTGCTGACAAAAATAGGCAACAGTAATGATGTTTATCAGTGTTTCTCAACCTTTTTGACTCCAAGACCCCCATCTTTTAAGACAATATTCAAAGGCCACCAGAGGTATTTTTGGTATTTCTACACAATAAATTATTTTAGAGCTTTGCATAACTAGAGAAACATTTTCATTACTTTTTATTATTATTATTTTAAATTGCACAACCTTTCATGTTTTAACTTATTTTAAAGCTTGTTTTTCCAAACAAGTAAAGTCAAATTGTGGGCCCCTTGGAAGTGTGTTGAGTGGGCCCTGGACCCCTGGTTGAGAACCACTGAAGTACATGGAATGAATATTCAGACAGTCTGAATATTAATCAATATGTTCTCTATCACAGACTACAGGCCGGCTGAAAATAGGAACATACACTGGACCTTTACAACATGGCATTGTTTACTCTGGAGGTACTGGAAATTCTTGGATAAAGATGCAAATGACACACTTGTCAAGTCAAGTCACCTTTATTTATGTAGCACTTTTAACAATATAGATTGTGTCAAAGCAACTGTACAGCATTAATTAGGAAAAAAGTGTATCAATAATGCAAAGTGACAATAGTAAACACTAATTTTTCAGTTAAAGGCAGTTCATCATTGAATTCAGTGATGTCAACATCCAGCTCAGTTCAGTTTAAATAGTATCTGTGCAATCAAGTTCCTTGATATCGCCATTCTAGGTATTATCAAATTGCTAGAGTTTTGAGAATGCAGCGGACGTGGAGGACTATAATGTAACAAGAGCTCGTTCAAATACTGAGGTGCTAAACCATTCAGGGCTTTATAAGTAATAAGCAAGATTTTAAAATCTATACGATGTTTAATAGGTAGCCAGTGCAGTGTTGACAGAACCGGGCTAATATTGTCATACTTCCTGGTTCTAGTAAGAACTCTAGCTGCTGCATTTTGGACCATTTTGGAAGCGTGCAGAACAACCACCCAATAAAGCATTACAATAATCTAACCTTGAGGTCATAAACGCATTAACATTTCTGCATTTGACATTGAGAGCATAGGTCGTAATTTAGATATATATTTATATACATGTATGGACAAACACACACATACACACAGATGTATCTCCTCAAGGTCCATACACATAGATCACAAGGACATCTGGTTTACTACACTTTATCACATGATTTTTCACTGCATGTGTACAGTCACTTAATCCAGTAATACTCACATTAGTTAGCATTAGTTAACATGAAAAATACTTTTGATGCACTGAATAATCTTAATTAATGTTCATTTCAACATCTGCTAATGTATTATTAAAATCAAAAGTTCTTTTAATATTTTTAATACACCTGAGCTGACATGAACTAACAATAAAGAGCTGTATTTTTATTAACTAACTTTAGCAAAGATTAAAGTTGCATTTTATTTTACAGTATGTGTACTTACCAAATAAAGTACTGGGTAATATAAGGTAACTACATGGGTTAAGGTTAGGTTTAGATTCATGGCTGGTACCTAGTTATTACCCAGTTATTGTAATTACTATAACATAGTATGTACATGTAGAACATGACTGTAAAATAAAGTAATTATAAATATTTATAATTACTGTAACAAATGAATTGTTCCTTGTTAGTTAATGCATCAAAATAGAATGAATATTATTCGTGTAAAGTGTTAACCTTAGTTCTGTTTCACTAAAATCAGCAATAGCATTGATATTCATAATAAATCAAGTCATACTGAATTTTTACAAATAAAATGATTGTGATTTAAATTGTGCTATGATAAATATTAAAATTATCATATTGCTGTTGCTTGGCCATCAAGGCTGAAAAAAACTAAAGCATAAAATCACTTTGGAAGAGCAAATATTGTAATAATAGGAGTTCATTATGCAACTTTTTCTATGCTGAGTATTGGGTATGCCTTATGTATATGTGAAAATTAGTCATTTCTGACTAATGTGTTTTCATTTCCGCCCAGGTTCTTCTGACATTGTGTGTGACCTGCTTGGAGCAAAAGGGAAGGATATTGTGTACATTGGGGATCACATTTTTGGAGATATTCTTAAGTCCAAGAAGCGTCAGGGTTGGCGGACGTTCCTGGTGATTCCTGAATTGGCTCAGGAGCTGCATGTTTGGACAGACAAAAGCTGTAAGTGTTGCCATATATCAGTAAAATCAGCCATTGGCCTGTTTCACACTGCACGTAACAAGCAGCACATATTTATTTTGGGTGCCCATAATAACAGGTTGCAGCGTTGTTGCTATAAGCACACTGATGATGCATAACTGCAAGTAGGTGCTGAACTACTTGCAGTTGTTCATATGGTAAATATTCTATGTAATGTAAACCTATTCATCAATGCAGTCTTTTGCAGCATAGGTTTTTATAGCAGTTTATGGTGTTCCATGTAGATTTATTACCATTTGGATGTAAATGTAATCCCTTTTCACATTTAAATTATATTTTATTATCACCAGTTTTGTAATAATTATGAATGGCCAAATTCCATTAACCATTTTATAAAGTATGGCCATTACTACAGGAAATATTACTGTTGTAACCTATAACTTACTTTATATTCTGGATAGAGCTGCAGTTCTGTCACTGTGAAAGCACAATGTGTGCCTGCTGTCACAGTTACGCTTATGTGTGTAGTGTGAAAAAGACCTTCTTGTGAGAATCTCAGTAAAGAAAGGAATGCTCACAGAGAAAGAGAAAGAGTGAGATGAGATGTCACACTTGAAAGGCTAAGAAAAAGAGATGTGAAACCCAATCATGACAGGGTTCTGCCCTCTCATTCACAGCTCTGTTCGAGGAACTGCAGGGCTTGGACATTTTCTTGGCCGAACTATACAAGTGAGTAAAGCTGCCTCTGTTCCTTCCTCAGCACAGGTGTGTGTGTGTGTGTATGTGTGTGTGTGTGTGTGTGTGTATTCAGAATTTAGAAATGGACACTGCTAGTTGTTGACAGGAAGTGGACTTGACTGAATTGCAATTATAAAAAAAGATACACAGCCAACAACTCAGATTTACCATTCACAAAATATCCATCATGTTGTTTTTAGATGGCTTTATACAAATAAATGTTGACTTTTACAGTTTGAATATATTATATGACTATAATAAAGGTTCAGCAGTAAAATGTGGTTGAGTAGTTATCTCATAATATTTCAGTTTAATGATTCCTAGGATTGTCTGACTGTATAATTATCAATTCTGATGTTTTAATAATGCAATACTAATCTGAAAATAGAACACATACAATGCCGTTTTAAAATAGCTAGCACAGAGCTGGATAACTAATGCATAATGTCCTGCATTATAAACTAATACAAAAATATATAAACAAGGCATTTCCATATCGACTGTTAGGTGTTGTATTGTGGTTTTGTTTGTTGATTATTCAAATTACACCAATTCATATTGGCGTTAATATTGTTGACATAGAAAGGCATAATTCTGAGTCAGAGTAGCCTACGTGAACAGCTCTGAGTAGAACTTTTGAGTCATCTAGTAATTACAGCAATTATACACCATAACACACCATAATAGTATTCAGTAAATTAGAGGATTCTGGGAAATTAAGTGTCCTTTCTGTCATAATGAACAACAAATGTTTTTAATTAAAAAATATAAGTATAAGCTTCTATAGGTGTTTTTTAAAATACTGATTATTAATGTAATCTAATGTTTCTCGAAATAATCCATATGTTGTGTGTGTGATAATGTATATGGGAAATTAGTGACGAGTTACATTTATTATTAAAATAACTTAGACTTACAGCAGCTGTATTCATTTCATTCGATTTTTGCATTGTGTTTTCCACCTCAGTTCAAATTTAAGAATTACATTGGAATATAAAAGGGTTTCGCAGTTCAGTTGCTCAATTCTGATTGGTGCACAAGCTCGCTGTACAGGGTACAGATTGAGAGAGTTTACCTGTTGATAAGCAAAGGCTTTAACTCAGTGACCTCTCGATTTCTGACTCCAACTGATGTCTGTCCCTTCCCCCTTTTCACTTCTTTTTCACTTTAAATCCATCGAATTGCTTTTCTCTCACTTACATTCTTTCTTTCTGTAGGCATTTGGACAGCAGCAGCAATGAGAGGCCAGATATCAGTGCCATCCAGAGAAGAGTGAAGGTAGACCCACTAAATCACACACTCGCATTCCGAACATTTCAATTATATCTGATTTTACTAGATGTGAAACGGCTGAACTTTTATCTTAGTTGACAGTATGGACTTACCAAGTGTCAATAACTTGAAATGACTTTAAATTTTAGAAATATTCTGGCTTATTTTGTTTTTATGAACAGCATATGTGACATGCTCTCAATAAATGTGTTTCCAGTAAATACGCTTGTAATGGTAGCTCATAAGTCTTGTAAATTTAATTCCATGGTAATCAACAGCCCACCCTGTGTGTTGTCCATAGATAATATTAATAGGCTACTAAAGTGATGTTATACTGTGTATTAAATTTTACAGGGTTATTATTGTCAACTAAAAATAAAAATAAAACCAACACCTTAAAAAAGTAACACTGACATGTTGATTTGGTGATTTTCTCTGTCATCAGAAAGTGACTCATGACATGGACATGTGCTACGGGATGATGGGAAGTCTGTTCCGCAGTGGCTCTCGGCAAACTCTGTTTGCGTCTCAGGTGATGCGTTACGCTGACCTGTATGCTGCCTCATTCATCAACCTGCTCTACTACCCCTTCAGCTACCTGTTCAGAGCCGCTCACGTGCTGGTGAGGACACACACCCACCCATAAACACAGGACTGGATTGATACAAATACCAGTGGAAGTTCACAATAGCAGATACCCATTTCAAAATATTATAGAAACAATTCATGTGTTCAATATAAATGGAAAAAACTGTATGTAGCTTAAATGGGTTACACTTTATTTTAAAGGGGTCATGTGATGCTTTTTTAAAGATCATTATTTTGTGTATTTGGTGTAACAGAATATGTTGACATGCTTTAATGTTCAAAAAACACATTATTTTTCAAATACTGTACATTATTGCAAGTCCTCTATGCCCCGCCTCTCTCAAACATGGTGTTTTCTACAAAGTCCCTCCTTTGACAAGCGCAGTCTGCTCTGATTGGCCAGCTGACCCAGTGCATTGTGATTGGCCGAACACCACAAGCACTCGTCGGAAATGTAACACCCCTTACCATAATCGCGAACTTCATCTTTCAAAATAAATGTAAAGACAGTAACTAATGTCATTAGTTTTACCATCAGTTCAAGCCCGAAAGGGGAACAGAGTCGCGTGACAGACACAGTGATGAAGCTGGTATGTGTTTGCAGTTCACAAGGCACGGTTAAGACAGCTGACTCCCCTGTGATGTGTCTCGCTCTCTCTCTCTCTCACACACACACACACACACACACACACGATGCGCAAAACTCCGCATTTGAACCAGGGCCGGGTCTAGGGGGTCCAGCCAAAAAAAATGAATAAAAAATAAGCATTAAACACTTATTATTTGTACTATCTAAATAAGTATCAGTCACTTTGTTCAAAGGAAAAATTGACAATTATGCACATAATGACATTTGAACTCGTAGCCACAAAATCTTATTATAAATAATAATAAAAAGCTAACTGTAACATCCAAGCAGAAAACACAACAGTGCATTTCTGTTCAGTGAAGTATAAAATTGCCTTTATTACAATCACAATCACCTGCTTGCCTGTAAGCCTACTTAGTATATCCTATTTTAAATAAACTGTATACTGAATTTGTTTTTGTGTGAGTGTGTGTCTTCCT